CGCAGGAGGCAGGGGGCGGGCGGGGGGGCGGGGGGCTGATGCTGCAGTGACAGAGAAAAGGTGGATGTCACTGCTCCCCAAATTTCCTCTGCTGTCTTTCCTCTTTGCAGCCTCCCTTTGCGCAGAGCAACGTGCTTCATCCACTTACTCAGCCTCGCCCGCATCTGCCTTTAGGAAGAGCATCGGCCACACCTGAGACTCCTGGTCCTGAGGTGCGCTGGTCAGGTGAGGGCCTCAGGGGGCCTGGCCCTCCAAATGCATCCCTGCCGTCTGGTCTGTCTGTGGACAGAGGAGGGTGGCCTGTGGCTGAGGGAGGCGGCTGGAAGTGACCTTCCTCACTCGCCTCCACGAGTTTGTTTGCGAGAACACAGACCCACCAGTGGCCTCCGACAATATGTGTTCCGACATCATGTAAGGGACGTATTTTGCTCAGAAACATGCCCTGTTAGTTGTTGAAACCTCTTTTGCATTCCCCGAAACAAATGACGGTGCTGTATTTTCTTTTGGGGGGCAGTCAATACAAGTCTTTCATGTTGACAATGACAATATTATATTCTGCGATCTATTTGCATTTCTCTCTTTTGCGGGTTTCATTGCTTGGTATAAATCCCCAGGCTGAAGCGAATGAAGCTTCACTGGGGAGAAGCAGTGTGTCTTATCATAGGACTGGGCAGCTCCCCGCGCAAGGTGTCGCTGACAGGGCTTGGCTTTTGCCAAGATGAGCCCAAGGTAGGAAGCTGCGCCCGTGTGTGCCCATTCGGCGTGTGCACGCGAAGCCTGGAAGGATTTTCTATGGATCCACAAACTGGATTTCCAAGGAGGAGCCGGTCTGAGCACACGCCGCTTCCATGTGCTATGCATGGCCCATCCCGCCAGGAGGCTCTGAGGGAAGGGTCGCAGCTGCTTGAGCTCTGCCCGGAGCTCTGGGCCGTGTGCTGGGCAGAAAGCTGAACGGAGACTGAGACAGAGAAGCATCTAGAGACGTGTAGAGGAGCGCGCCTCTCTCCACCCTCCTGGGGGTCTCCTGGATATTTCTGAGAGTAAGAGTGTCTTCTCCCAGCAGGCAGGTCAGTACGTTTCTGAGCTAAATGAGGGCACGGCCTCAGCCAGGGTTAGTATTTACCAGCCGCCCATGGAGCACTGACTATGGGCTATGCTTTGCACGAAGCACCCCCTCATTTAATCCTCACAACAGTCCCAGGAGGTAGGTGCTGCTGTTCTCTCCATTGTACAGATGGGGAAACGGAGGCCCAAGGCTCCACGGCTGGTAACTTGCAGAGTAGAGAGTCAACCCCTGGGCAACTGGGAGTTATCTGTGGGAGGAGGAAATGTGTCACCTCCGCTTGCTGGGAGCAGCCATTGGCGATGTTTACGAGATCACTCCTATGCCATGAATAAAAATGTCAAGAAAGAATGAATGAGTGGCTTGAATGGGGGTCATTGTATCTGTTGGGTTGTCCGGCATATGTAAATTTCCATAATGTCTTTCTATTTCAGCCAAGGCTGTCTCCTTTCCTCCTTGTCTAGTGGAGTTTCCTAGGTGCAGAAGTTTCCCAGGAGCATTTGGGAGCAGGTATGTCTATGCGTGGTCGGCTCTGTTAATTTCATCCCAAATCCCTTGGAAAAGCGCCGAGTCCCTGCTTCAGCTCCATTGGGGCGGGCTGGGCAGCTCAGTTCAGTTGGTTAGAGCATCTTCCTGATACGCCAAGGTTGCGGGTTTGATCCCCAGTCAGGGCACATACAAGAAGCAACCAGGGAATGCATAAATAAACGGAACAACAGGTGAATGCTTCTCTCTCTCTCACCCTCTTCCTTTTCCTCTTTCTCTAAAAATCAATTTAAAAAATTTGAGGACACCTGAGTTACTAGACTGGTTAGGGTAAGGAAATGGGTCTTCTAAGTATCCAACCTGTGTTTTCCTTTTTAGTGAGTTTATTGGGGTGACACTGGTTAACGAAATTGTATAGGTTTCAGGTGCACAATTCCACAACACATTGTCTGTACACTGTATTGCGTGTCCACCACCCCAAGTCAAGTCTCAGGCCATCACTTTCAAAGGAAAAGTTCTGTGGTTTGGATTATTAAAGTCATAAGTGCTTATCTAATTGTATTTAAAGCCCATTTATCATTTTTTTTTTCTCTATCCACTGAGCCAAACCGGTTTCGGCTATCATTTTTTTTTGAGTCTAAGGAAGATTCACTCAGTCAGAAGGGATGGAATTAATAAATGATTCCCTTTTTAACTCGGGCTGGGCCTCATTCGAACGCCTGTTTTCAACTTGAGCTTGTAAGTATGGCATTTGTGAGTGAAATTGCCCTTGTATGTTCAGGGTAATTGAATCCCATTTTTCACTTTCCATTTCCCTCTAGAAAAATAAAAATGTTTACAGAGTTTAGCTTCTCAGTGGGGGATTTTCTAAGGTGGGAACTTCAACAGCATAAGAGAGGCCGGTGTGGCCATGACATTCAGGACGGGCTGTCAGGCCTGTGCTCGGCCCATGGACGGGCCACCTCAGGCAGCTTCGAAGATCAGATGGATTTCTCTGTTTTCACTGGAAACACCAAAGGAATGTCCACACCCCATGCTTGTATCAGGGCTGGGGGGTGAGGAAAGCTAGAATTCTGGCCAGATTGTTGTCATCCATGGAGTGGCTCAGGGCAGTACTTACTGATCAGAGGCAGACCACATGCTAAATCAGCTTGGATCAGGGTCTCCGAAAATGTTGGACAAATGAGAGTTGACTTTAGGTGGCACTTGGATAGCGTTGAGTCACATAGTGATATGGGATTATCTTTCCAACTGTCTTTCAATCCTGATTATATCAAGGACACAGTCTCTGTATGATGCTTGATCTTTAACATTGTTCTTATCTGTTCTTTTAAAAATAAAGGCAGACCGGGCCTGAATGCGGGCCTTTAGAAGCTTATGGCTTCTGGTTTGGATTTAATAACATGGCTTTCTTTTTCATTGTTTTGCTTGTACGATGACCTTTGATTGCTGGCAGTTTTGAAGAGAAATATGTGAAGTTTCATTGTAAGACAGATGCGTTGAAGATTTTGTTTACTGTTAAGTAAATGATGGTGTTCAAATCACTTCGGACACCGGGCCTGATGCACGACAACACTAATTGTATATGGAGGACTCGTTCTGTAGCCAGCAGTGTCCTGCTTCTTACACGTGCTCCCAAGGTGTTGTCACAATCACCCTGTGGATAGGTACTATTATTTCCTCTGAATTAAGGACAAGGAGTCTAAAGCTCAGAGTGGCTCAGGGCAGTACTTACTGATCAGAGGCAGACCACATGCTAAATCAGCTTGGATCAGGGTCTCCGAAAATGTTGGACAAATGAGAGTTGACTTTAGGTGGCACTTGGATAGCGTTGAGTCACATAGTGATATGGGATTATCTTTCCAACTGTCTTTCAATCCTGATTATATCAAGGACACAGTCTCTGTATGATGCTTGATCTTTAACATTGTTCTTATCTGTTCTTTTAAAAATAAAGGCAGACCGGGCCTGAATGCGGGCCTTTAGAAGCTTATGGCTTCTGGTTTGGATTTAATAACATGGCTTTCTTTTTCATTGTTTTGCTTGTACGATGACCTTTGATTGCTGGCAGTTTTGAAGAGAAATATGTGAAGTTTCATTGTAAGACAGATGGGTTGAAGATTTTGTTTACTGTTAAGTAAATGACGGTGTTCAAAGCACTTCGGACACCGGGCCTGACGCACGACAACACTAATTGTATATGGAGGACTCGCTCTGTAGCCAGCAGTGTCCTGCTTCTTACACGTGCTCCCAAGGTGTTGTCACAATCACCCTGTGGATAGGTACTATTATTTCCTCTGACTTAAGGACAAGGAGTCTAAAGCTCAGAGAGGTGCAGAACTTGCCTGCATGTCACGTGGGCCCTCGCATTTCAGATGCACTCATCTCAGTGGCCCAGCGGGAGGTGAAAGGAGGTAGGTTTCTCCTGGACTCACAGGTGCGATTTCCAGTCTGCCCTCTGCCCTCACTAGCTGTGCCTCCCCGAGCTTCAGTTTTCCCATCTGCAAAGTGGGTGTTATGAGCAGTGGGAGGGAAATGGTGCGTTTCGTTTCCTGCGACAGGGTGGGCGATGTGGCTGATAGTCACGCAAACGGTAAGACAATACAGAGCTGATCCCTGGGCTGAGCCTGGCGGAGAGCAGGTCCCTTCCGCCGAGGTTAGCTGGGCTCTGTGTTCTCATTGTCCGGCTCTGAGTTGGCCGCTGGGTGGGTGGGAAGGTGAGATGTGGTTCACATCCCTGCAACCTGGTGAAGAAATACGTTCCCGGGGCCAGAAAGCCAAGCGGACGCATCTGGCCGGGATGGCCCAGCAGCATGAAGGTCAGAGTTTGTGCTCCGAGCGGCTTCCCCCTTCTCAGGCTGCAGAGCTTTGGCAAGGTTCTGAGTTAAGCTTAATTAAAATTCACTCTTAATTGGGGCCATTACTTCAAATCAACTCTACGTAATGAAGCTGTGTAATCATAATTAAGCTCCAGAAATAGAATTAGGAAGCCAAGCACGGGCGGGCCCGGTGCCAGGGGCGACAGGGAGGGGACTTCTGGAATCACCGAGTTTTCAGATAGCCACGGCCGCTGAGTGCGGTGACGGGAGGAACCTCAGCGGCCCCATCATCAGGACAAGGAACTCACCAGAAAGAGGGTTTGGGATACAGGGAACCCCGAGAGGCAAAGCTTGAGCGGCACCAGGCAGAGGGGCCCAAGTGGTGATGAGAACAGGGTCCCCTCGGGAGGAGGCCCAGGCAAGGGCAAGTCTGCTCTCCAGCAACTGTGTCCCCCGCTGGGAAGTCAGGGCCAAGGGCAGCTGTTTCCAAACAAGGACATCTCTCTCCCGACTCACGCAGGGCTCTCCTCAGGGGGTTTCCTGGCAGGCAAGTCAGGGGCAATGCCTCTGCTTGCGTGACCCTCTGCTTGAGGGCACGTGAGGCACTTACCTTTGCAGTTGTTGGCGCTGCCGTTTGGGTGGTAGCTTCTCTTTTCACGCGGGGGAGCATGTGAAGATTGGGAGCGTGAGTTTTAAAGTGAGGTGATCAGAGGTTGAACTCCGGATGTGCCAATGACCGGCCACGTGTCTAGGAGAGTATTTACCCCACTCTCCGTTTCTCCATCTGTCATGAGAGAATTATAATGGAAGACGTCTCAAAGGCTATTCTCACAATGATATATACACCCAAAGCACTTCGAACACCGGGCCTGACGCACGACAACACTAATTGTATATGGAGGACTCGCTCTGTAGCCAGCAGTGTCCTGCTTCTTACACGTGCTCCCAAGGTGTTGTCACAATCACCCTGTGGATAGGTACTATTATTTCCTCTGACTTAAGGACAAGGAGTCTAAAGCTCAGAGAGGTGCAGAACTTGCCTGCATGTCACGTGGGCCCTCGCATTTCAGATGCACTCATCTCAGTGGCCCAGCGGGAGGTGAAAGGAGGTAGGTTTCTCCTGGACTCACAGGTGCGATTTCCAGTCTGCCCTCTGCCCTCACTAGCTGTGCCTCCCCGAGCTTCAGTTTTCCCATCTGCAAAGTGGGTGTTATGAGCAGTGGGAGGGAAATGGTGCGTTTCGTTTCCTGCGACAGGGTGGGCGATGTGGCTGATAGTCACGCAAACGGTAAGACAATACAGAGCTGATCCCTGGGCTGAGCCTGGCGGAGAGCAGGTCCCTTCCGCCGAGGTTAGCTGGGCTCTGTGTTCTCATTGTCCGGCTCTGAGTTGGCCGCTGGGTGGGTGGGAAGGTGAGATGTGGTTCACATCCCTGCAACCTGGTGAAGAAATACGTTCCCGGGGCCAGAAAGCCAAGCGGACGCATCTGGCCGGGATGGCCCAGCAGCATGAAGGTCAGAGTTTGTGCTCCGAGCGGCTTCCCCCTTCTCAGGCTGCAGAGCTTTGGCAAGGTTCTGAGTTAAGCTTAATTAAAATTCACTCTTAATTGGGGCCATTACTTCAAATCAACTCTACGTAATGAAGCTGTGTAATCATAATTAAGCTCCAGAAATAGAATTAGGAAGCCAAGCACGGGCGGGCCCGGTGCCAGGGGCGACAGGGAGGGGACTTCTGGAATCACCGAGTTTTCAGATAGCCACGGCCGCTGAGTGCGGTGACGGGAGGAACCTCAGCGGCCCCATCATCAGGACAAGGAACTCACCAGAAAGAGGGTTTGGGATACAGGGAACCCCGAGAGGCAAAGCTTGAGCGGCACCAGGCAGAGGGGCCCAAGTGGTGATGAGAACAGGGTCCCCTCGGGAGGAGGCCCAGGCAAGGGCAAGTCTGCTCTCCAGCAACTGTGTCCCCCGCTGGGAAGTCAGGGCCAAGGGCAGCTGTTTCCAAACAAGGACATCTCTCTCCCGACTCACGCAGGGCTCTCCTCAGGGGGTTTCCTGGCAGGCAAGTCAGGGGCAATGCCTCTGCTTGCGTGACCCTCTGCTTGAGGGCACGTGAGGCACTTACCTTTGCAGTTGTTGGCGCTGCCGTTTGGGTGGTAGCTTCTCTTTTCACGCGGGGGAGCATGTGAAGATTGGGAGCGTGAGTTTTAAAGTGAGGTGATCAGAGGTTGAACTCCGGATGTGCCAATGACCGGCCACGTGTCTAGGGCAGTATTTACCCCACTCTCCGTTTCTCCATCTGTCATGAGAGAATTATAATGGAAGACGTCTCAAAGGCTATTCTCACAATGATATATACACCCAAAGCACTTCGAACACCGGGCCTGACGCACGACAACACTAATTGTATATGGAGGACTCGCTCTGTAGCCAGCAGTGTCCTGCTTCTTACACGTGCTCCCAAGGTGTTGTCACAATCACCCTGTGGATAGGTACTATTATTTCCTCTGACTTAAGGACAAGGAGTCTAAAGCTCAGAGAGGTGCAGTAACTTGCCCAAGGTCACACAGTAAGTAAGTGGCCATTAGTAAGAGCTGCACCAATGGTAAGTATTATAATAAAGGTGCTCTATGTGCCTATGCATTTGATCTGCTGGTCAGAATTAGTTAGATCCACAGTCAACACATGCCCAGAAGTTCTACACAGGCCCCAAGGGAAGTCACTCAGCCAAGCTTGTCCCAGGTCTGTGGCTCTAACTCAGCCAGAGGAGGCCAGGCATTTGGGCTCTGAGAGGGTGGAGCTGTGGATGCTGATTCCAGAGCTGTGGGGTTGGAGGGAAAGAGACAGTGAGAGAGAGCGTCACCGAGTATCTGTTTTTTTACTTGGCATGTCAGTTGTCCTTGCTCAGGAGACCTTGGGAATCACCCTCAGGAGTGGCGAGGGGAAGTCTAGGCACCTGAGCCAAAGAAGAGCTGTGTCGCCCCCTTGAACCCCCAGTTGTCCAGAGCATGGCTCATACTTCTTATGCCACCTTCATGAATGCCCACTGGGTGCCTGGAATAGAGTTGGGCCACAGTTGGCACCAAAGCCCCATGAGTCAGAAATGACCACTCCCTAAACAAACAAACAAAAAAAAAGAGAATAAATAAAAGAAATGACCACTCCCATTCTGCAGATGAGGAAACTGAGACTCAGAGAAGGAAAGCGCTTGGCTCACTGGCCGATGCGAAATCGCTCTGCAAACAGGCCATCCTCAGCGAGCATCACCGCGGTCACCATCCCGGCTCCAGTGCGCCAGGCCTGCTGTTTGGGAGCCAGGCTCTCACAGATGTGGCACAGCTGGGCTCTGAACGCACTCGTCCAGTCTCAAAGCCAATGACCTCACCCAAAACCAGCCTCTGCATTTTCCCTCAAAACAGCCTGAATTTCCTCCCAACCTCCCCCTGTGGTCTTGCCAAGAAGAAAATCTAGTTTTCCATGAACACTGAGGAGAAATGAACCCGTTTCCAAGAACCTCAGAGGACGATGGGTGCGTCTTTCCTGCAGGGTCTTCAGCTTCAGCCACCATGTGTGTCTCCTGGTGCAGGGAATTCCTCCCACAGCCTGCGACCGCTAGCAGACTCAAGGGCAAAGTTCAAACCAGCCGCTGTGCCCCACACCCTCACTTCTGCAGCAAGACCCAAGGACTCCAGAGCAGCAGTTTTCATTTGACAATCAAAGACGCTGTTTATCATTTGGCTCCAAACACATTCTATGTTGAAAAATCTTGGCTAGCTATTACTTTATCGGCATCAGTCAATGGTAAATTATGTGTCCCATTCTATCCCAAATGAAGACTTCGGATTGGTGTGGGATGACCAGTGCATGGCAGTGATTCAGTGCCCATCACCTGCCAGGGGGTCTGCTGGACAAGCACGTGATGGCCTTAGCTCATTGAATCCTCCCACCAACACTCAGAGGTCACTACCTGCATCGTCCCCACGACACAAGTGCAGGGACCCGTGCTCAGGAAGGCCAGCGAGCTAGGAAGGGGCAGAGCTGGGAAATCAGAGCTGGGCTGGGGAGGACCGTCACTGCCAACATACTGAGGCCGGCAGGTCAAGCACCCAGGCATGTGCGACCTGGAGCCCTTGAATGCCTCTGAGGGCCCTGCCAGGGTGGGCCTCCTCCAGGCGATGTCTCCCAGGGCTTTAGGTGGCTGAGGAGCTGTGGAGGGTTAAGGTGAGACCCAGGAGGACCCCCAGCCATCCTGGAAAGCCTGGACTGGTACACACAGGGCTTCTCAGCACGGCACATGGTGACTGCTCACCCAACAGGACACAGGCTTCCCATAGGTGGGCAGGTTGGATCAGGTGACCCATGAGGCAAGAGAGTAGAGTGGTCAGCACAGGGGCTTGCAAACTGGGCAGGCAGGGATCCTTCCATCTGATAGATCTGTGAACCGGAGCGAGGCTTCCGTGACTTGGTTTTATCACCTGTAAAATGGGTCAGTACAACCTACCCCAGTGTTGCTTCAGATGATTTGGTGAGAGAAGGTGTTACCTGATGCCTGGAAGACAGTAGGTGCTTAATAATTGAGAGTTACCATTCTTACCACTGGGCGGGCGATGCTCTAAGAGTCTCCCTTGGTCATAAACTTGAAATATTAATTTCTGCCTCATCCAGAGGCTGGGGCACAGTAAGACAGGCTGTGGCTCTAGCCCTGGCCATCTCCAGCCAGAGCAGGTGAGGTAATGTTTATGAAAGATCACTCTGTCCCCTTCCACCGGGCGGGCGGGGGTGCAGCTGTGACCAACTCATGCCCCATGGACTCCCCTCAGCTACCCTGCCTCCCCCGTGCAAGCCCACAGAGCCTCAGTGCCCTCGCCTGTAAAGGGGACCCAGCTCATGCGGTCACCCTGGCGATGAAACAAAGCCCGCACATAGGGCTGAGCACGGCGCTCTGCAAACAGGCCATCCTCAGCGAGCATCACCGCGGTCACCATCCCGGCTCCAGTGCGCCAGGCCTGCTGTTTGGGAGCCAGGCTCTCACAGATGTGGCACAGCTGGGCTCTGAACGCACTCGTCCAGTCTCAAAGCCAATGACCTCACCCAAAACCAGCCTCTGCATTTTCCCTCAAAACAGCCTGAATTTCCTCCCAACCTCCCCCTGTGGTCTTGCCAAGAAGAAAATCTAGTTTTCCATGAACACTGAGGAGAAATGAACCCGTTTCCAAGAACCTCAGAGGACGATGGGTGCGTCTTTCCTGCAGGGTCTTCAGCTTCAGCCACCATGTGTGTCTCCTGGTGCAGGGAATTCCTCCCACAGCCTGCGACCGCTAGCAGACTCAAGGGCAAAGTTCAAACCAGCCGCTGTGCCCCACACCCTCACTTCTGCAGCAAGACCCAAGGACTCCAGAGCAGCAGTTTTCATTTGACAATCAAAGACGCTGTTTATCATTTGGCTCCAAACACATTCTATGTTGAAAAATCTTGGCTTGCTATTACTTTATCGGCGTCAGTCAATGGCAAATTATGCGTCCCATTCTATCCCAAATGAAGACCTCGGATTGGTGTGGGATGACCAGTGCATGGCAGTGATTCGGTGCCCATCACCTCCCAGGGGGTCTGCTGGACAAGCACGTGATGGTCTTAGCTCATTGAATCCTCCCACCAACCCTCAGAGGTCACTACCTGCATCGTCCCCACGACAGTGCAGGGAGGACCCGTGCTCAGGAAGGCCACCGAGCTAGGAAGGGGCAGAGCTGGGAAATCAGAGCTGGGCCGGGGAGGACCGTCACTGCCAACATACTGAGGCCGGCAGGTCAAGCACCCAGGCATGTGCGACCTGGAGCCCTTGAATGCCTCTGAGGGCCCTGCCAGGGTGGGCCTCCTCCAGGCGATGTCTCCCAGGGCTTTAGGTGGCTGAGGAGCTGTGGAGGGTTAAGGTGAGACCCAGGAGGACCCCCAGCCATCCTGGAAAGCCTGGACTGGTGCACACAGGGCTTCTCAGCACGGCACATGGGGACTGCTCACCCGACAGGACACAGGCTTCCCATAGGGGGGCAGGTTGGATCAGGTGACCCATGAGGCAAGAGAGTAGAGTGGTCAGCACAGGGGCTTGCAAACTGGGCAGGCAGGGATCCTTCCATCTGATAGATCTGTGAACCGGAGCGAGGCTTCCGTGACTTGGTTTTATCACCTGTAAAATGGGTCAGTACAACCTACCCAGTGTTGCTTCAGATGATTTGGTGAGAGAAGAAGTTACCTGATGCCTGGAAGACAGTAGGTGCTTGATAATTGAGAGTTGCCATTCTTACTACTGGGTGGGTGATGCTCTAAGAGTCTCCCTTGTTCATAAACTTGAAATATTAATTTCTGCCTCATCCAGAGGCTGGGGCACAGTAAGACAGGCTGTGGCTCTAGCCCTGGCCATCTCCAGCTCCAGAGCAGCCCTCCATGGGTCATCGCTCCCACTTCACAGTCTGGGAGAGGCGTGCCTCCTCTGTGCCAGGACAATGTGCTGGACAGTGGACCTGTAGAGTTGAAAAGCCAACCGACTCAAGGTAAGAGAGAACAAAGGAAGGATGGAAGAGAAGGGTGGGGAGAGAGATGGGAGAGAGATGCAGAGATGGTACTGGGAGGCGAGGTGTTGTGGCTGGTGAGGGACACAGGGTCTGGCATCACATAGGCCTGGGCTAAATGCCTGGCTCTACCCTTCACCACGTGTAACTTAGGGCAAATCACCAACTCTCTCTGTGCCTCAGTTTTCTCATTTGTAAAATAGGGTTACGAATGGTTCCTCCCCCAGAAGTTTGTCTTTAGGGAAGCTATAATGAAATAACATACTAGGATGTAAAGCACAGTGCCTGGCTCGTCGTGCTCAATAAAACTGAGCCATAGCATCGTAGTGATAATCTCCTGGTCAAGTGATCCGCGCGTTCTCTCAAAGACCCATTTTACAGATAGGAAAGTCAAGGGGAGGAGCGGAACCACGCCAGTGTGTGGGTCCTTTCACTTGCACCCTGTTGCCACCTGGCTGGGCTGATTCCTGGCCTCTTGACCTTCCTCACCCCTGGGGCTGCCTGTCCCACAAAGAGACTTCCCTGCCTCTTCCAAGCTTGGACAGCGCTCAGCAGCAAAAGCTGCAGGAGCTGGCCTCTAGGGGGCAGCAGGACCTTGGAAACCAGACTGGCTGCAAGACTGGGCTGAGCTGGCAGTGAGCTTCAGTCACACAAGAGGCAATGGGGGACCCTGGGGAGCTGGAGTTAGGGCTGGGGCTGCTAGAGAGGGGAAAGCAGAGGGGCACTGAATGAGGATGCTGGCCGCCTCTGCAGCCCCCTCTGCCAGCCAAGCCTGTCCAGTCCCTGCACCCATCCTTGGGCCATGGGGATTAAATGTGACACAATCCCAGCCCTCTAGGCCAGTGGTTCTCAACCTTCCTAATGCCGCGGCCCTTTAATACAGTTCCTCATGTTGTGGTGACCCCCAACCATAAAATTATTTTCGTTGCTACTTCATAACTAATTTTGCTTCTGTTATGAATCGTCATGTAAATATCTGATATGCAGGATGTATTTTCATTGTTACAAATTGAACATAATTAAAGCATAGTGATTAATCACAAAAACAGTATGTAATTATATATGTGTTTTCCGATGGTCTTAGGTGACCCCTGTGAAAGGGCTGTTCGACCCCCAAAGGGGTCGCGACCCACAGGTTGAGAACCGCTGCTCTAGGCAGTGAGAAGCCAGTGCAGCCTGGGGAGCGGCAGGGCCAGGGAGTGGGGGTGGCTGGGGGTGCGTCATGCTGGAGTGATCAGAAAAAGCATTTTCCAAGCCACAAGGACCACACAGAGCCCAGGGCGTTTCTTGGAACTGCTCGTGGACCCCTCAGGCCTCCGCCTGCAGAACTGGCCTACCCCTGTGTGTGTGTGTGTGTGTGGCTCTAGGGTCCTGTAGGGCCTTCCCCAGGCCTCTGTGACCGAAGGCCTGTTGTTTGGCCAGTGGGCCAGGGGATCTCCGTGCAGGCTCACATCTGGCCGCCTCTGCTCTGTGCTGGCAGCAGAACTCCCTCCCAAAAGGGCCACAGAAATGACAAATACTGCTGCTCATTGCTCACCCATGCCAGGCCCTG